TGCAGCAGTTATATAATTGCAAGTAAAAATTTCACTGGCTCGCCAAATTACTGAACCAGAAGGGTTTGCTTACTAAAGAACCAGAGGGTAGAATTTGGAAGGAAGAAATCAAGGCAAGAGGCTGTATAGTGTTGGACTGAGATCAGCATTTTGATTATCTTAAGAATTTGTCACGGAAAAGAATTAAGGTTATGTTGAGTGCTAGGCAAATAAATAAGAACATATATTTTACTCAATGAATTTCACTGTTTTCACTGATTAGGAATTTCCTACTAACAAATCAAGGTTTTACCGGAGGACACTCACTAGACAGTCTCTGAAAATAGTTCTTGAGTTGGGGCTTTAGAACAAGAAATTCGTTACGAGTTTTTGCTAGTCCATTAAAAACTTGCAGCAAACAAGAGTAACAACATCCAAAAAAAGTAATAATGCAGAAACTGTAAATGTACAAGTCTTGCTATCCCCTGGAGGCTTGGGAGAGAGGGTGTTTTTTTTAACCCCTCTACTCTTTACAGTTCTATTCAGAGCTGAGATACCCCAGTGATTTTAAAACTTGAGCAAGGGAGATGAAATTTGCCATGTTTTAAATGGATGTTTAAGTCATATGGTATGTTTTGGTGTTCTTATTGGATGAATGCAAATCATTAGGATCAAGTTTCTGATAGGCATATTCATCTTCATATGTTTTAGATTGCCTTTCTGCAAATCTTGAGCAGAAAACTGACCTAGGAAAATGAGATCTTATTGCTTTTACCTTCATCATCCTATTCTCTCTCCATTATACTGCAGTAGATCCCTGCTACCCATATTGGGTTAGGTTGCATAGCTCTTGAGAAGCTAAGATTTTGCAAACCAACCAGGGATCATACACAACTGCAGCAAACACCTGTGTGGGACCACTAAGGTGCTCCAGCTGATGGCTGAAGCTTTCATTTCAAATTGTGCAGCTGTGTGGGACTACTGATGAGTATCTGCTGAGTGGAGAGGCTTTTGTGCCCTTTGAAGTAAAAGGTGCAGCAAACAGCTGTGCAGCTTGTCCTGCACTTAGCAAGCCACCCTGAAATTAATAATCAGGGTTCTGCTGTAATTGTTCTATTCACGTGTTGCATCCTACCAGGGAGTGTATACTCTTCAAACCAGAGACAGTATTAGCTTAAGGGATGGCATAGGACCATGGAAAACTGATCTCATTTTACAAGACAAATAATAAAATAAGCTAAAATAACTCTCCAGCATGACCTTTCAGAGATGTTGGGAGAAGTTATTTACCTTATGGCTGACAGTGCTTTAATTATATTGTATCTTATATCTGGCACAGAACATCCAGAAGCCTAGTTAAAGTGAAAGGATGAGAAGTTCATATAAGCACCAGATACAGTGGAATTGTAACATGGGTGAGGCCCATCAGAAGTTTTGGGTTCAAACTCTGCCTCTGCTACTGACTCTATTTGGCCTTGGACAAGTCACGTAGCTTGATCTCTTTAAAATAGGGATGTCACAGCTCCCCAGGGTTTGCTTGGAGGATAATGTCTGTGATTAATGTCTCTGAGGGACAAAGCACCATGCTTTCAAAGTAACTTAGTTCTTAATCTTAAATGAAGTCAGAGGCACTTAGCTGACTGCATACATATGAAGATTTGGGTGAAAGTTACACTGGTGATAGGAGATCACCAAATGTTTTTATGGATACGAATGGTAGCAGGATGTAGGCTGCATTGATAAGATGCTGTAAAGGAAGAGGAGAGGAGGAGGAAAGGGAGAGGCAAGATTTAATAAATTCTATGCTTTTACAAGTGAACTCATTGACTAATAAATGGTTTTAGAGGGCAGTCTCAAAAGCCTTTCAATTCTGTTTTAGATACTTGTCCATTACCATATATCAGAATCACTGGAACCTGACTTCTCCTCTTTCACAGCCTCACTGAGGTCAGGATCAGGGCAGAAATTGCTCTGAAGTTTGTATTCAAACTCTGCAATGTAGGTTTAGTTATTAATAATGAACGCACAAGATGAGATGACCTTGAGCCCCATGGTGGATTAGGTAGACAACAATGACAGAAACCACATTACATGATGAATTTCTTTTTTCCGTCCAGGTTACGTCACGTTGCTTTTGCCAGGCTGAGCATTATCATGAGGGCACTTTCATATGAACGTGAGCATTTTGGCCCTGCTGACCTTTGTGAGTACTTCCACCCATCACAAATGCTCCCCCGTGACTTTTGCAGCACTTGCTGTTATTAGCCAATTCCCATACTTGTGACCTTTTGACCTTGCAGCATTTTAGTGGAAATAGCTAATAAAACAACAAAGGATGAAAAAAAAATGTAGACAGGCTGAGTCAGTGGCCTAAGTTTGGGAGAACTTGACAATGAGGAATTCAGGTAATTTGTGACCAAAAATGGTAATTAAACAGCCCCTTTTTCTCTTGCTGTTGAAATGCACAGTTGCTTTTAATAACTCTTTAAACCTCAGCTCTTTTATACCTTCCTAATAACCATCATAATCATCACCTAGGATTCTCTGGGAGTGATTTGTGAATGTGCTTTGTATAGTAGGAAGAAAAGCAAAGCTACTTGACAGAACATCAAAGGCTCGAGCCACTGAAGTTTTATGCAGCCCTTGCCGAACCTTTCATGCTTGAAACAATGATGAAAAATGACTGTCAGCTATGAAACCAAATTACATCAATTCATTGCTTTTTCTATTTAGAAAGCATGACCCGACCCACCACACACAACTTCTTCCCCAACCACAAGCATTCCGTCAGGATGAAGAAAAAGAAGTAACTTGATCAGTGCTGTACAAGAAGGGGCTATTGTATTCCATGATTATTCACACAAGTGTCTGTGGGGGGAGATGGGTAACAAATAAAATCAGGCAGGTCAATGACCAATTACTATGTTCTGATTATCTTTATATAACAGATTTATCTAATAAAGTATCTGTTCTTTAGGCTACCCAGGGGGAATTCTCAGCGTGGAAGAGTTGAAATGGAAGCTAAATGTTACTCTAGGCTTTACCTCCACAGACATGCAGCTGCAGGTAATTTTTCTGGCTATAAATAAAGTGATCCTTAAAGGCGGCTGCTGAGAACAGAAGTTTAGGGGTGATTTGGCTCATCGTCTCCACTGTAATCTATTCTTGATGAGCATCCTGTTTAACTACTCCTGCACCTGCTTATTTTCCAATGCATAAGCCTCCTCGATGTAGCACAGAAAATAGCCGCCGGATCCTAGAAGCAGGAAAGAAATGATGCGAAGGTCTCAGTTATCAAAGCTGAGTACAGATGGTGATTCCCCTTCAGCTAGGGATAGCATATTTCCAGTTTCAAAAAAAGGACACGGTGGGGGGCACATGATTGTATGGGGGGTAGTGATATGTCCATGCCCTGCCCCTCACTCCCAAGCCACAGCCCCCTGGCTCAGCCCTGCTGCTGCCCCTCACTCCTGACCCACTATAGCCTGCCCCGCAGACCATGCTGGTGCCCCTCACTCCCAACTCGTGGCTCCCCTGTCACTGCTGATACCCCTCAGTCCTGACCCACAGCCCCCTGCCCTCCCAACCCTGCGGCCCATGTAGCTCACACACACATACGCTCTCTCTCTCTTACCTGCCTGCAGCTGCTGGGGCCATGCGCAGAGTATGTGATGCTCCACCTTCCAATCACCTTTGCCCTGTGCCCCCAGCCCCAAGCAGCTATTTGCTCAGGCCAGGCAGACATGCTGGCAAAAAGCAGGGGCAGAGCAAAACCATGGACATTTGTTTGCATTTCAAAAACCTGCCCAGACAGAGGATCATAAAAGAGAACATGTCCGGAAAAACCCGAACATAGGTAACCCTACCTTCCACTGCAGAGAGGGCACAATTAGAGTGCAAATTGCAATCCATTCCCATTCTGGGTGCAACGTTTTGTGTGCGCAATGTAGATTCACATTTGTGGAAATTCAGTCCTGGGACAGTAGAGCCATACATGGAAAGTGTGGTTGCATATGGGGCATCACAACAGGTTCAATTTTGATTTACCTAATCTTTAATAATGATCTTATTTGAATCCCTTTGGGACAAACACTACTTACTGTGGCACAGTTGCCAGTTTCCATTCAAATTCCCCCCAGGTCAGAATGACTGGGGCAGCTGGGGATTTTATTTGTGTATTTATTTACTTATTTATTTTTGCCTTTCTCTGTAGAGAAAGGCAAAAATATCTCCTTCCTAGGATGATCTAGGCACATTTTCTGTATCAGATTCTTTGCCATTGCAGGGGCCAAAGGTATTGATGGTTCCCTTTTCTCTTCTGTTTCCTTTCTCTGGCACACTATAGGTTTTTGAGACTCAGGGGTTTTGTTTGTTTTAGAGCACTAGGGAGACGCTTTGTGAATGTGGTGTGCAGGAGGGGCTGGAGTGCATGTTGCAGAATGGGGCTTGTCACTTTGCCAAAACTTGGTGATGATTTAATCCACAGGTTTAGAGAAGTTGTGTTGCAATATAGTGATTATAATGTGAACACGACATTATAACATACATAAAACATGGGCTCACATTCAAACATATGGGAGCCTTCTTGAGAGTTTGTTACTTCTGATAAGGCACTATTCAATGATTAGTCAAACAGGCCATAATATACGTGGATATTCTTCTCCTCTCACCCTCCTACTCTTCCTCTTTCCTTTTTTCCTCTCCTCCGTTCTCTCTACTGCCTTTCTCCAGTGAAGAAAATGGAGGAAGAAAATAAAGAAAGAAAATTCAGCCTATAAGGAAAAGGTTATAAAGATAAATGGTACCATTCAGACGTGATTCATTTATGATTGTGCTGCGCAGTAATAGGTTTTGCATGTTGATGAGATGTTGTCACCTTCTCTGCTCACAATGCTTCTGTGTTTTTCCATAGTTTCCCTGAAGAATGGAATAACAATAGTTATTGCTATCCCTGAGTATCTAAATGCTTTATTAATTAAGCTTCTTATTGCCTCTTAGTTTGAGCAGCTAGCCAATATTCAAGGCTCTGCAGGCTTGTTTCTGGCAGGGCAAGAAAGGGATGGGTTGAGTCAGGTGTATTTTGGGTATAATCCTGTTTATTTTTAAAGAAAGCACACAAAGTCCTGTTTCCTGTTAAGTAAACTGGAAAACAAGACTAGCCCAAGAAGACCTGCTTCATTTCTGGGTCATGCTCATAGCTGCTTTTTCTGGCTTTCTCTGCCTATTGCAACCCAACACATTAGTCAAGTGTTTGCAACTAGCGTGATCCCTGTTAATCTATCTGCATAAACTCTTCTTAGGACTTGGTTGATATCTTCCATTGTCTACTGCTCTTTTCATGCATAAAGGGTCTTAACTGTGGTCTTATTCTTATGCTGATTTCACCATAACTCCTCATAATAGCTCGAGGATGCAAAAAAGTGTTATTATCCACGCTTTGCTAAGAAGGAACAGATCTGAGTGACTTGAAGTAATGGCTGAGCCAGGAGAGTCATTGCCCCATACTCTAAATCTCCCCTACTTTGTACATGAACATTTCACCCCTTGTGAATATCTATATTAACTATAATAACACAATTATAAAAACAGGACTGACTCCAAGCATTGATTACTGAATAGGAAAGTCTTCACTCTCAGGGCCCTGACGGACAGGGAGAGAAAGAGAGTGGGTGAAACTTAGCTGGCATGGGGTAGGGCCATAATTTCTAGATAAGCAAGAGCCAACAACAGATTACTGTCCACATGCAAAAAGGTGTAGGAAGGGAGGAGGAGCCAGAGGAAAGATGGTTCTTTCTATGGTCTGCTCCTGGTATGGTACAGCCATGTGCCACTCCTCACATGGAGCAGCTGGAAAAATGGAGCCTTTAAATTATGAGCTATTAACAGCAAGGGACGTTTTCTTCATCCTTGCAAAACACAGCATACAATGGTGGTGCCATTCAAGTCATATATACTAATAAGGTTTTAAAGAGCCAAATGTTCTTGGTTTTGTTAAGAGAAGACAGGATCAAAATGTACAAATATCAGGCAGAGGTGATGAAAAAAGCTCAAAGATGAATTAGTATGGTTAGTGTGATACAACGCAGCATGGAGGATAATAGGATGAAAATTAAAAAAGGAGAAACTTATACGGAATATTTTTTAAAGTACTTCCTTGCAGAACATGTGTCAGGCAGTGGAATAGCTTCCTGCAAGATGAAAGACCCCCAACACTTAGGCTATTTGAAATAGAAGGGACACAAAGTAATAGCAAAGGTGTGCCATGACCTTGAAAAGTGGAGTGGTCTGTCACTGTATGAAGGTCCTTGTAGTGCTTTGGAACTAGACTGCCATTGGGAAGAATGGAGAGGCTTGAATCATGTCTTTGAGATAGAAAAGCCAGTTTGCTCCTGTTGCTGCTGCTTCTGTGGGAGTACTGCTTCTGGGAGGAGCTATGTTACATCATAGAAATAATGCCGATCAAAGGATAAAGCAACATGCCAAAAATAGAAGCTGGCAGCTGGTATTGTTTTACTTATACATCTGTATTATAGGATTTCATATGATTAAATGGTTTCACAAGGTAGCTGTAACTGCATTATAAAAGGCCCCATAAACTTTCCACCTGCTGGCTAGAGGATTGTGAAATAAAGCTGATGGTCACATGTATTTTGGAATGAATTTTGGATCACTTTTGTTTTAATTTATTTAGATTTACCAGACATAAGCTTGAAACAAAAAGCCCCAATGCAAACACCCGCAAGCTTGCTAATGTTCTCACTTTTTCTAAAGGACTCAACATACCACTAGGTCTGAACCCCTAGGAAATGTGGATTGTTGGCAATTCAATCTCAAACACATCTAAAACCATCTCTAATTCACAAATGAGCTGATAACCCTGTCTGTCCATATGACTATGCTTTTTTTTTTATCTCTATAACCTCATTAGGGAAGCACAAGAGCTATAGATAAGAGAGTTTTTTCATTTGAAGTTCCTTTTCAGTGTAAAGGGAACTTCTTCGGTAAGTTTATTTTAAGAAATGTATCTGATTACTCCTTTTATTGCTGTAGCTTCTTTTTGAAGGTGTGTTTTACTGTTAGACACACTTGTTCACCACTCAAATTCAGTGCTTTGGACATGCACATTTCAGACACTGGATCTGCTAAGCCCAGTCTCCTCTAGAATTAGGTTGTATTTTTAAACATAGTCCTGAGTATGGGAATGCAAAACTGCATGGCCTAGGAAGCAGCAGAAGAGTGTCTGTGCCCCAGTGCATGAGGTTTGTGTAGATATTAGGGGTGTGCAAAGCACAAAGTATTCAATTTGGATTCGACCCGATCTGGGGACAGAGATTCAATTAACTGATTCAGATCACTGTCTCGATTTGATTTGGCTGAATCTGAAGATTCAATTCTGATTTGGAGAATCAGCATTTCAGCCATAGACACAGCTTTATATGTTTTTTCTACATACTTCGAGGTACCAGGCGTGGCTCGTAAATGCTGAGACGGTGAGGCAGATGGAGCATCTCATGGGAGTGTGGGGGGGTCCACCACCAAGTGCATGGGGGACCCCCCCCACACACACACACCCAGCTCAGCAATCAGTTGTGGGGGGACCTTGGGTGCACCCCAGACCCAGGAGGCACCTGTCGCCAAGCTGGAGGGCGGGGGGGATCCCCTGCGTGCTCCACAATGGGCGCAGAAGTGGATTAGAAGTACTTCTGGTCCACTTCCAGGTTCACCACCAAGTGTGTGGGAGAGCCATCTGCTCTCCCATGGGACGCTCCATCTGCCCCTCCATCTCGGTGTTCACGAGCTGCACCTGGTACCTGAAGGTACGTAGAAAAAACATATAAAGCTGTGTCTATGGCCAAATTGTTGAATCTCTCCAAATTGATTCGGAGGCTTCCAATTCAATTCAGAGAGATTAAAAAGTCTCCTGATTCAATTTGGATTCAGAGATTTGACTGCCGAATCAGGCCAAATCTCCTCCGAATCAAATCAGTGACCGAAGTTTCCACAGCCCTAGCAGATATCACCTTCTTAGAATACTGTAGTGTCCACTGCAGTCAGCAGTACTATAGGTGAACCTTCTCCTAGCTAATCCCTACCTCTTTTTTGGTGATGTGTGCTCCCAGCTGTAATTGACCGTGTTTGCACATGGATATACAAACAAGGTGGGAAAGTAGGAGGCACAAGAAAAATGCTGGTCACAGTCTACCTCTCCTGTATCCTGTGTTTAATGATGGCCACTAATTCTCTCCCGTGAACACACAGGTTATAATATTTGCCACAGTGCCAGCTTAGTGATGGATGCCTGAGCAGCACAGTCACCAATTGCTGGGAACCCTGGTACAAAGTAGGCCTAATAAAAAAAAAAAAATCTTATTCAGAGAAAATGTACTCATCTATTAAAAATGGCCTTTTTAGTCTTTTTTGGAAAGAATATTTAATAGCTTCATTCAAAATCTCCCACCATTGTCAACAGAAAATGGGTAACCAAAAAATTGGTATTTTGGGGTCAAATGGATAATTTATGTAAAAATGTTAAAAAGAACACCTTTTTTTTTACCTTCCAAAATTTTCATGGAAAATGCTTATTGTTATCATGCCTGATCTAGCAAAAATATTAAGACATTCTACCCCAGATATAGAGCATACAGGCCAAAGTGCTTTCCATTGCTTGGAACTCATCCATTCAATACTATATTTCATCAGAATGCCTAAAGGGACTTTTCCCTCATTGGGTACTGCTTTCTTGCTAAACACCTTAGGACTAAGGTGTTTAGCAAGAAAGTGCTAAACTATTAGCAGACTGGGTCAGACCTATCATCTAGTCCTGTTTCCAACAGTGGTCAGTACCTCAGTGCATCAAATGGAGATACAAGATATTTCACCATAGGCAGACTTGGGATCTATTCCTCTGTAGATATTATCCTCGGTAATGTATGTAAGACTGGCAGGGGGGAGGGAGATCACAGCACCAGCTTAGTAATGTCACAACATCCTCAGTAATGTAACTAAGACTGGGGCGGGCATGGGGTACAAAAATAATTGCTGTTGTGCTGCTTGCCATAGTTGGTGCCATAGTTTATAGCCTGGCTGCAGCTGCTACCCCATGCACTACCTCCTCCCAGGGCACAGACCTGGCCAGTTATAACTCTGCTCATCTGTATCTCTAATTGGTCAGCATCAGCCTTTAAAAATCAGGGTTTAAAAATGCCTTCCAATTTTTTTTCACTGTTAATTACTATAGCCCTGAGGACTGTTGCCTATATAACAATCCAATCCTTCTCTGAATCTTGCTAATTTTTTGGCCTAAGTTGCATCCCATGGCAATCAGGTCCATTTCAAGCTTCTATTTCCAGTACTGAAAACATATTTTTTTTCTTAAAGACAACATTCCATTTAAAAAGGTCAAAATATTCTTGTTTGATCTTTCCAAATAAATTCAAACATTCAGGCAAAAACCATACCTGGGAAATTTCAGCCAGAAAGATGAAAGTTTTGGAAAGCTATAAATGGGAGGAGGGCGAGGGGGAGGGGGAAGGGAGAAGGTTTATAACAGAAATGTAACTGTTACACTGAAAAAATTATTAGTGATGAAATAGGAAGCCATCTTGTTGGCAATCTGATAGTCTAGCTTTGCCAGCTCATGGGCAACAAAGCTGAACAAGTCACATGCTGCTGGCAACACCATATGTTGTTCTCCTTGCCAACCTTAGTTTAAATTTTTTAATTGTCGGTAGCTGTGAGAAATATTGGAGAGTTCTGTGGGTAGTTTGCTGCCCACAAGCCATGGGTCAAGGATTATTGGTCTAAACTATCAGCTCTTTAGGGCAACATCTTTGCTTTCCTACCAGTTTGTGAAGTACCCAATATACTGTTGCTTCTATACAAAGGAGTAAGAATAGTTAATGAAAGAATATGGAAGT